TTTAAAAAAATTTCAAAAATAGGTTAACTTTTTAAAAATAATATCAATAAAGGGCAAAAACACTATTCATCTTCTTCTTCTTGCCATTTGTTCACCAGAACCGCCGTCCGCCGCCGCCTCCGCCTCCAGCAACATTGCCGGAGGAGGCCGAAGGTAAAGGTGGCAGCGACGGCGCTGGTGGTTTCTCTGTCCAATGCCGCCACCTCCGCCCACCTCTGCCTCCGCCTCCGGCAACGTTGCCAGAGATGGGTGGAGACAGAGGTGGCGGCAGCGGCGGGCAGAGGAATGACCACCAACGCCTCCGCCGCCGCCACCTCTGCCTCCGGCAACGTTGTCGGAGGCGGAGGCAGAGGTGGGCGGTTGCCGTTGCCAGAGGCAGAGGTGGGCGGACGGCGGCTCTGGTGAACAAATGGCAAGAAGAATATGATGAACAGTGTTTTGCCCTTTATTGATATTATTTTTAAAAAGTTAACCTATTTTTTAATTTTTTTTAAATATATTACTTTTATTAATATTAAACCCCAAAAGTTACCCTACTATCCAGAAACCCTTTAAAAAAAACTGAATGGGAGTGTGGAAAGAAGACTAGTAACTCACAGAATCATGAGTTAAGTATGTGTCACAATAATCGCAATAATACCTGGAAAATAACAAAAATCAAATGATGGATCAGTACAGCAATAAAGTTATGTAGACAAAGATGAAATAATACATCAAAAATATTAAAATTTTGATATCAAGAGGGATGAAAATGCTGTACCGAGGCATGATGTATGGCTAGAACCAATAGGTAGTAAATAATACTGATCCACTGAAACCTGCAATGTTAAAAGAAAACAACAATGAAATTAATACGAGGGAGATATCAGATAATGCAATAACCTAATACTATTTTCCAATAAAGATTATTAAATTTTTAAAGCAAACCAAGCATAATATAGGACCATTCAGAATACACCAGTGTAGCGTCTAACAAATATGAACTTGTAGTGATTAGGTGAAATCGAAGTTAGGTCTAATGAGAAAATCAATTAAATTCGTGGCTCAATGAATAACAGTAAGTCTGTAGCTAAGAAATTATGCAGGATAAACCCTAGCTGAGTTTCTCAGGCCCCAATTCTGAGTCGCTAACGAATCCACAAAGAGATTAATTTTTTCCTGGTTCAAGGTGGCACAACTTGTCATCCCTGCTTCTGTTCCTGGGGAATTCCTATTCCTGAACAGTGATCCTGTGTCTTACTCCTAAGAAACAAGTGACCTGTTTGGCAAATTGTTCCTAAGGAACATATTTCTGTTCTACAGAAATAGAAATGTTGTTTGTATAGGCCTAATTCTTCAGATCAATCCACATAAAAATCAATTGTTACAAGTCCTCAAACCTAAATAGACCCTCATTTCATACATATTTTTGTAATTTTTTCTTCAATATAACAGCTGCCTTCCATTCCAATTTCCACCCTCCAAATATGTCATTTTGCACCTTGCAATACTAAAACCTCCCCTCTCTTTTGTGTACCTTTGTTGCCCTTATATGTTACAACAAAGCAGTGATTTAAAAGGCCACCTAGGCACACAGGTGAGGCACATTTTAAGGTATGTACCTCACCTAGGCCCCAGGCAGCACCTTCAAAAAGCACGCACTTGGTGCACCTTGTGCTTCAACCCAGGAATGCACCTTTTTCTTATCTTTTGTGCTTTTTGTTCTTTTTTGAACATAGCAGTTGGTGTGGGGGCTCTGCCCCTAGATCCCCAACCAAGCCCCTTGAGGCAAGCCCAAACAAGTCAATGTTAGGGCCTTAAATTCTTAATCCCTACACCCAAAAAAAAAAAAGATTATATAATTTTAAGGGCAAATTTCTTAAACTACCCTAGTGCCCTTTAGCTAATTGACTAACTCTACCCTTACTGTTTACATATTGTCTTAAAGTACCCCCCCAGGTTTCTGACAATTGACATCATCATCAAGTACTAACAGAAAAAAAAAAATGAAATGTTGAATTTTCCCTACACTATTCTTCAAATTTTCAAAATAAAAACCAACTGATGAAAATTTTCAAGAACTACTTCATCGGCATCGGCACTTAAGGTAAATCAACACCACCATATCCAAAGAGAAAATAATGGTTGCCGGCATTATACCGGCGTGAATACAGGCACCCGACATCAAAAGCCATGGATCTTCACACCCTGTTTTGGCTATTGTGATCAGAACCACCACTCACACCCTTTTATAATATCAAGTCTCTGCAAATCCCAGTGGGCGAAAATTGGCTGGTTCCTGGCAGGGACCGGTGGGTTTTTTTCAACTGTCCATAATATTTTTAACATCAAATGGAATTGGGCAGCAGTGGCAAGCTGTTCCTCTTCCAAGACTAAAGTGAGAACAAGCTGGTCAGCTCCTCYTGCTGGCTTCTTGAAGCTGAATTTTGATGGAAGCTGTCTAGGAAACCCAGGTCCTTCTGGGTTAGGTGGGGTATTGAGGAATGAAGTCGGGAATGTGATACTTATCTTCTCAGGTCCTTTAGGAGTGGGAGACTCTACTAGAGCAGAAATGTTTGCTGCCTTGCAAGATGTATAGTTTGCAGCTCAATTAGGGGTGAACCAGCTAATAGTTGAAGGTGACTCAAAGGTTGTAATAAGCTGGTTGTAGGACCCAGAGTCAGTAGTTTGGTGCTTCAGGAATGAAATTAAAAAGTTTAAGGTGCTGACAAGAAACATGGACCTAAGAATACAATGGGTGGGGAGATCAGCAAATGATATGGCGGACTGTCTAGCCAAGCAAGGGGCAGCTAGGGAAGTCCTGGCACAACTGTAATTATTATTTTGTTTTCTTCTTTAGTGGAGAGATCGCAGCTCGCGCCTCTCCAAGGGCTGCTTGTATGTGCTAATGTTTCCAAATTAATAAAAAGTTCATTTATTTATCAAAAAAACATTTTTAACATCAAAAAATGCAAAGAAAGCAGGGAAAAGAAGATTATTTAAGCAGAATGCTGAACCAATTACCGCTGAAATTCAATTGACGTCTTTGAGTCTTCTCTTAATCTTTGGCATAACGACAAAACAGGAATTTGATGTCTCCGTTTCTTGATCAATGTTATCGTGAGTCTAATTAGTGGAAGACTTGTTCGGGAGCAGGTGGAAGATTTGTTCGGGAGCAGATTGATCCAGTGATGCTTAGTGCCGTACAGAATCAGATGGGTGCTAGCGAGTTCTCGGGATCAAGCTCTGCCGTGTCAAAACCCACCACCGATCCCCAACTTAACTTCTCTAATCGTCTTCCTGAATCCATATTARTCTCATCATATTTCATATCTAATCCATGTTCCCTTGGACAGTAAGTATGTTCAGTCATCAATTTTCTCCATTCTCTAGTAAACCTTCCATTAGATTGTTTTATCTTGTTTACTTTGAGGACTGAAAAGAGAACATGAACGTATTGAAAGTTTGAGTGCCATTACAGTCTTTGGTCCTTCTCTTCACCCTTTATTGCAGGAAGATGTGGTAACCCACCACTGCGTCAAAACCCACCACCATTCCCCAACTTAACTCGTTCAACTCATCTTCACCACCAGCTTCTGGCCCACTGTAATTCCCGTGACTCCTATAAAAACCCACCACCGCTCTCTGTTTCTTTGCCTATCAAAGCTCTTGTCATGGCTCCTAATGTACAACCCACCAATGCAAAAAAGAAGTGAAAATTGCAGAGACAAGGTTCCCAAGAACTGCCGACACCCTGGACCTACAAATGTCTCTTATCTTTTATTCTTTGTTCGGCCAAGAAAGGGGCTGGCTGGAGTCAATGAGACTGCTGTGGCTGAAAGGCAGAGCAATGTTTCTTGTAGAAGGGACTCCCCTATCCACACATCTTCCTGGAACCTTATCTTATGACCAGAAGCCAAACTATATAGCTTACATGATTAAGGAAACAGGAAAGGATACCTTGTATAACTTTCCAAGGTGCAGCAAGAGTAGCTCTTTGTAGACAACTAGGATCCCATCCATCTCTAAATAGCCCATGAATACTAGCCACCACTTTATGCCACAATCTCTCATTTTCCACAGGAAAGCGCCACAGCCAAGAGCCAAGTTTTTCATGCTCACATTGTCAATTCCAAAACCACCTCTCCCTTTTAACCACCATTTCCCATCTCACCAAATGATCTTTCTTCCCTCCCTTGGTTCCTAGAGAAAATCCCTCATGATTGCCTAAGGCATCCTAAAGACTGACATGTAATATACAGGGAGATTAGCTAAAGCAGATCTAATCAAAGTAAGTCTCCCACCCCAAGAGATATAATTTCTTTTCCACCTAACTAGTCTCTTCCCAACTCTTTCCATGATTGGGTCCCAAAAACTGACTGACCTAGGGTTATCACCTAGGGGTAATCCTAAATCTTAACGACCATTCCCCACTCTCACAACCCAAAGTCTCTGCCACTAACCTCAATTCCCTTTCTTCTAAATTGATACCCACCACTAGGCCTTTATTCCTTTTTTTTACAACTGAACATAGAGATTTATTAATTCATAAGACAAGGAAATACAGCCTAAGAAGAGGCACAAGATGCTACCTCCCTTTTAAGAAAGGGAGATGAAGGATACCACCTACCCTTTAGTTGATTACACTAAGCAAAAATAAAATTACAAAGCCCAATACAAAGTAACCCGAGAAACCCCTTGTTTGGCAAGAGAATCAGCCAAGGCATTTGCAGATCTGTCCACYCACTGAAATCTAACTGTCATATTCCTTGTAAGTTTAAGGCAGTTTACTTTTTTTAGAAGGTCCTTATAGCCCCAAGTGAGACAACCATTCCACAACCATCTTGGAGTCTCCTTCAATTATTAAGTTCTCCACACCAAGTTGGTGGCTTTTATTCAATTAACACTCAAATTAGACATTCTCTCATGGTTTAAAGTATCGGTACGATACGCGTATCGGCAGTATCATATCAGTACTTAGAAACACCTTTTTTTTAGTTTTTTTTTTCAAATTTTGCTTTTAAGGAAGCTAAAAATAGGTTTTTTTATAAAAAAAAAAGGTGGGGTTCCGAAGGGGCATATCGTATCGATACTCTAAACCATGCATTCTCTCAAAAAAAAACTAACCACCAATTTCAAATTCTCAACCCAATTTCTATTCCCCCCATCAACCAAACCGAAACCGAATTACAATAAAACCGAAATAACCGAACCAAAATTTTCGGTTCGGTTTTCGACTATTTTGGTTAAAAACCAAATTTAATTAATATATACAATATTATATATTATAACCTATAATATATATATATATATATTATAATATATATTATGAAATTGAATTTCATTATAATACATTATATAATATATTAATATATAAATATATAGCATATTATATATTAAATGTTATATATTATACATTATATATTACATATTATATAATAAATTTTAGTTAATTCGGTTTTGTCGGTTAACCGAATTTCTAAATCTGAAAACCGAAACCGAAAGCCAAAATTCCTAAAAACCGAAAAAAACAAAACCAAACCAAAATTTTCGGTTTGGTATTTCGGTTTTAATTGAATAATGCTCACCCCTAGCTTGAGCTCAACTGCAAGCCAAATTTTAAAAAATAAATAAATAATATACATATAAAAATATTTTTTGTTTTACATACAAAAAATTAAGAATTACAAAAATTATTTATTATTATACATATAAAAAATAAAAGATATAAATATAAAAAATTAGTTTATTTTACATGAAAAATAAGAATTATAAAAATTATTTACTATTATACATAAAAATAAAAATATTATTATATAAAATAAAAATTATTTATTATATATATATTTATATGTATATGTATGTATGTACATAATAAAAAATATATTTATTTATTATACTAGGCTCGCAAGCCTCACGAGTCAAACTTCACTAGGCTCGAGCTCGGCTC